TTTCACCACAAGTACTTCTTCTTCAAGTTTTACTCTCAGTTTTAGACCCAATCATGGGAACAAAACACAACCAGTTTTTATCAAGGATGAGACGGAGGTAGGGAAGAATACTGAGCCTTTTAATCCAAGTTATTCAATCGAAGAAATAAATTCTGAAAGCGAACTAAATCATGCTTCCAATGGTTCTGATGATGAAGATTTAGATATGGAATATTCAATGGAACAAGGGTCTTTTTACATAAAAGTTTCTGCTTCAACATATCACAATAAATCAAAAAAAGCCCAGGCTAAAGCAAAAGTTCGAGTTTGTCGATCAGCTAGATTGAATAAGAATCCAAATTTAATTTACGATTAATATTGTGCTTGATAGAGGGTTTAGCATATTTGCTGCCCTATATTTTCTTTAGTATTTATAAAATTGGGTTTTTTATTTAAAAAAAAAATGATTTAGATTTTGTTTCTGATGGGGGTGAGTTATTAGAGTTTTATGATATTGTCATTTATGGATGTCTAAATCATCACGTACTTTTTAAATGAAATATCTCTGTATTTTACTCCAAACATTGAACACAAAAGAGTCGAAAATGAAAAAGAGAGTAGTGTGGATACTGGAATATTAAGGTTACAAATAAATGAATCTGCGTACTTTCAAAAACATTCTACTTCATGCGATGCCACTAAGTTCTTCAACGGACTAATTCAAAATTTATTGCTCTTTACAATTGTAATTTAACAGAAAATTCATCCCCCCTTCAATCACCGAGAAATAACAAGTGAGCGGGTTAGAATTACGTATGCGTTTTTCTTTTTCTTCTTGAACATGTAATTGTTCTTTCTCCCTATTTTGGGTATACTAAGACATCCAAACACACTCCGATGATCCGATCTCTGATATATTTGGGAAGCATTTAAGCTTTGATTACAAAATAGCTCCAGAGGGGGGATGGAAAAGTCCATTTGAGCTTCAAAATTGTATCCCTTCTGGTGAAAATCAATTCGTCATTTTACAATTTTCTGACGTTGCCCCAATGAAATACAGTTCGCCCTTTCTAGCATTTCTTTTTCGAGATATTCTACCAATTATGATTCTTTGCAAGAACATTTTGACGTCTAATTTTAAACCTACTATTTTGCATTAATCACAATCCCAAGCGCCGAAGACACGGTAGTTCCCCTACATGACCACAAAGGATGACTTATTTGGCTTTAAACCAAAACAAATGCAACAAAATTAATTTCTAGTCTTGTGACATTTCATAAATTTAACTTTTGATCCGTGAATTCCTAGTAGATTTCATAAATTTTTATTCCCTTTGTGTTGTCTTAGAGTTGTTTTGCTCTTCACTTGTCTTTGTAATTAGGGAAGATTGCATTTTCATAAATCTTTGTAATTGTCATTGCCTTTGTTTTTGGAATAAATCTTTCCCCATTTCTGAACGAGTTTTTTTGTCTTCCCAAAAAACATAAAGAATCGTTTTCTTTCAAAAAAGGAAAAGTAAAAACAGAAAATGTTGGAGGGCTTTATCAATTTGGTATTTTCCATAAGGTAATATTGATAGGGTGAAATAGCCGAGGCCAATTACAGAGTTATCGCCCGTACATATGATGTGCTCCATGTTTAAACTTCCTGAGTCCTTTTTCTTGATTAATTTGTTGAAGTTACTCATGAAGTCGTGACGATTTGTTCGTTATCATATCTTGATTAGAGCACTAATAAGTATCAGAGAGTTAGGATTTCCTTGTTACTGAATAAGTCGTCTCAAAACAGTGCGCAACCACGATTACACCTGAATTTATTACGTGTGCTGAATGCTTGTATGCGCTAAAATTGTCATTGATCAATAGTACTAAACTTTTGTTTAAAGATGATTTAATCTAATTGGAGTTTTACTGCGATCTAAGACTCTCCAATCTATAGTCTCTCCCAGTTCTAAACTTGGCTAAAACACAAAAACTCTCCGTTATCTACAAAACATTTGAAAAATCTAACACGGAGCAGATACGAGGAGTAATTGAGATATGGTACTATAATGCCCAGAAAATTTCTCCAAAGATTTTAAAAGTTATGGGTACAAAGTTGAAATGATGATACCATACAATAATAATAGTAATTAGAAGAGTTGAGAGTGTTCGATAGTATAAGATTAATTAAATTATAGATTGTGAAAAATTAAGAGGTATCCAGGAAAAATAAAATAAATGATAAAATACAAATTAAAGGAAAATTAATAAATAGTAAGAGACATCAATGAATAATTATAAAATAAAAATAATAATAATAAATATAATAACAATAGAAACTTCCATGAATAGTAAAAATAATATTAAACTAATAAGAGGTAAATGTAAATAGTAAAGGTCATCATACAAAAAAATTAAAATAATATGGAAGAGTTAGTTAGGAATAGTAAAAAAAATTAAAATAATAAAGAAGGGTTAGTTAGGAATAAAATATTAGTGAAGTGGTAGAGAGGAATAGTGAAAAATATTTTAAAATAATAAGGAAAGGGTAGGCTCGAATAATGAAATTTTCACCTATAAATTGAGGGTTTCACTTTGAGTTTTGGGCACACCAAAATCAACTAAGGGAGTGGACACTTCCAAATAAAAGAATACACCCTAGTTGAAGTTATAAAATTTTCTTGGAGGTCTAGAGAAGCTCAAGGTAGCTTGGGAGATTTTCATAAAGTTTCAAAGGTCTTTTATAAGTTAACATTCGAGTCTCACTTTTAGTTAGAGTTTTTATTTTGTTATTAGGAAGAAATGTTAGAAATTATATTTCCTTTATTTAGACTCTTGATTATGATCTAAGATTTGGAATGTGTAGAACTAGGAAGTTATTTATATCATAATACATATGCTTTTGTGATAGTAACTCTTTTTCTTAAATAATAACATACATTTCTTAGTTGTAATATGCTTTCTTACAAAGTAATGCTATATATATTTCCATGAAACTAGTACGTTTTTCCTTAAATTATAATATAAATTAAATTGTAATATACATGCTTTCAAATGTATGTCATATACGTTTCCTTAATATTACAGTTTCTAGAAACCTCTATATATACTCTATTAGTAGTAAGATACTACTTTTCTAAACAATATTATATATGTTTCCTTAGTAGTATACCTATTTAAATAATAAAAGTATGTCTAGTTTTGTATCAAAACAGTTCCTTAATAAGGTTTTAACTATGTAGTAATAGATCACTAAGTGATTTTTTGTCTAATGAGATTGAATTTTAAGTGGGACCGTTTGTGACCCCTCCAATCTTTCTTGGGGATTATTTCTAAATCGATTTATGGTACACTAATATAAGAGATTGAAATGTAATATTTTCCAAATATTGTGGTTTTAGTTGAAGAAGTAATAAAAGTTACAAGTATTTAGAAGGTCTTATAAATGAAAGGTTCCAAAAGATATTATTCTGGCGATTTGGAAGATAAATTCCATTTTTTTAACAAAGTTTTCTGAAACATTCTAATTTCATAAATTTATGATAATTTTTTTAATAATCTAAAAATCTTGAGTATTTCATACATTTTGAAATATTATCACGTAATTACTTTGGAAAGAAAGTATGTGGGTTGGGGATAGAATTGAACTAAGTTAGATGAGAATTGTGAGTAACACGAATATATTATACTAAGGAATGTTATTAGGTGTTTTAAAGGCTTGTAGTAGTCATACTACTTTGAAAGAAAGTGTGATATAAAAGGAGAATAAATAGTGTTTATTTAAAATATCATATTATTATAAGTAAATATATACTATTATTTGAAAGAGATTACATTACTAATAACAAACAATATATCACTACTTCAGGAAATGTACTAATAATTAAGAAAATAAATGAAACATTATTTTGAAAAGAGAATAAACTATCAAGAACCACATTTTGAAAAGAAGGTACACAACTACTTGGAAAATATAGATCATTATTTTGTAATATTATTATTTTGAAAGAAAACATACTACTTAGAAAATATAGCTCATTATTTGGGAAGACATATTACCACTTACAAAATTAAAGAAGATAGAACAATCTAGTTGCATGGCTTACTATTTAAGAAGTTATACTATTACTACCAAAACATGGATGATACTTGAAACCATTAATCTAAACATTCCTAGAATATATAACAATAAACATTTAAAGGCTTATATCATAAATAAAACAAGGAAATTTAGCTTCTAAAATTTTAACCCTAATTAAGAGGAGGAGTTTGAAAATTACCTCTTAGACGACCCTTTGAGACTCTATTATCCCCAAAACTACCTTGATCTTTCTTAAGAACTACTAGGAAATTTTTGAACTGTAGCTAAGATTAGTCCTTTACTAAGATGTGTCCAATGCTTAACAAATTTTTGGTGTACCATAATACAATGGGAGGTCCTTTACTTATAGGGGGAGATTTAACTGTTCCTACCTACCCATTCATTACTTTTTTTTAAATATTTTTTAATATTCCTAGCTACCCCTTCATTATTATTTTATTCGTAGCTAACTATTCTTTATTTTTTAAAATATTTTTCACTATTCCTATCTACCCCTTCATTATTATTTGATTCCTAACTAACCCTTCCCAACTCTTTCACATTATTTTAAAATTTTTGTAGCATGACCTTTACTATTCACATTATTTTAACATTATTTTTACTATTAATGGAAGCTTCTATTGTTATTATAATTATTGTTTCTATTATATTATTTTTATTAGTGTTCATATTGTTATTATTATTGTCACTATTATTATTATTATTATTTCTCCATACGTAAGAAAACTTAGAATATTCTTAATTTAAATTAACTTAGAACAAAACCACATTATTACAAAAATATTGGGTATTACATTATCTTTCACAACCTGGAGGTCCTCCAACCTCTTCAAGACTTGCTGCATATTAGGCCGGATCGCAGGTTCAAGATCCACACAAAGCCTCGCCAACTTGGAGATTTTAGGTCCATCAGGAGCTTTAAAATAAGGACCTTCTTTCAAACTCTTGTCAACGAATGATACTCCCAGCATAGTGTCCAAGGGATAGAGTTCATGAGCATCGCGATATATGAAACCCCATCCAGTGACAGGATGTTCCTCAACCTTACATTTGAAGAGAAGCTCACAGAGTATGATGCCAAAAGCAAATACATCTGATGATCTGAATATTCCCTTGAAAGACCTGTACCACAGTAAGCATAATCAATGTAACCCCATGATCCAAAATTAACTCGATCCAAGTGAGCATCTGGCTCTGTGATATCCATTGGTTTAGCATCCAACATGAAATAGGATATCAGGACAAGGTTCCAATCCTTGTCAAGAAGTATGTGGGCAGCAGAAAGATCGCGGATCAAATATCTTGGCTCTTCATGAATCAGATACCTAAGAAGACGAGCAAGTCCAACTGCTACCTTAATTCTTTCAAGCCACTTAAACTCCGATTGAAGTTCTCCAAAAGTTTGTAGTGCCATCTATGCAGGGTTTGCCTCTCATGAAGTTTAAAAGTTTTCACCCACATCTTCACCGTCACATCTCCGCCTTTAAGTCCTTTCCAACCCTCAGGAATCTTACCATGATAAAGATGGGAATACTGAACCTGGCAGATAAAATTATCGCCACTAAAATTGTTTGTGAAACTTTCCAGATCTTGTTTCTGAAGTTCCAGCACTCCAGTTTGATCCCCTCCAGCGGACGCCATCCTACGCAATCAGCCGTACGCCAAGAGAAAATGAAAGAAAATCAGGGCTGTGTAACCAGAAGCGCATCCAACAAACTCCGTTGTATCAATATCAGTTTCGGCGAGGTGCCAATCAATTTGGCTGGGTCGCAATCTAATTTACCAGAACGGATATTGAAACCGGATATGCTCCTGATTCCCGGCCTAATTAAAGTATTATTATTACACGAGAATGCGTGTGAAGTGTGAACAAACCATTCGAATCTTTAGAATGTCTCAAAACAGTTTACCAATCACAATTATACACCTCTGCATAAATTTCGATAATAAATTTAAATATTGCTTTAAACCAAAACGATGAATGGCTGCATGCGCTAAAATTGTATCCAGTTGTTATAATCATAAATCAATAGTTGTAAATTTTTGCTTAAAGGATTTGATCTAATTGGAGTTTTGCTGCGATCTAAGTCTCTCTAAATCTGTAGTCTCTCCCAGTTTTAATCTTAACTAAAAAACAAAAACCTCCTGCAAAATATTTGAAAAATCTGACACGAAGCAGAGACTAATAGTAACTGAGGTATGGTACTATAGGAGTAACTAATGTTCAGTAAATTGTGCCTGATTACAAATTATTACCTAGCCAACAAACAACCACCTTCCATTAACGCCACAATTTTGCTTCCCACTCTATATATTCTTTCTACTATGGATTCAACCAGCACATTTTCAAACTCTCATTTCCTCAATAACCCAGAACAGGCAATAGCTAGCATTTTCGTTTGTTTATGAATTTCGTTCAAGAAACATAAATAGACATATACAAAGTAAGTTGAAGTGTCTGAACGGGAGCTGAATGTAGATTTACCGCATCAGCGTTGTCACCGTTCTGAGTAAGATGTTGCTGCAATCTAATATGGAGCCAGCTATAACTCAAATCTCGAAGGCAAAGGATCTTTATGAGTCTAATATTCAGCCCTTCTATGGAGGGATGATAAACTGGAGGATGGATGGGGTTCATTGCTTAAGCTCTCTCGAGATTCTTGCTATGTCAAAACAAGTGGAAGATTCTGGACCTGTATACACTTGCAACATATTTCCGTGGTGGAGTAAACTGTTGCCCTTTTCATCCAAATTACAGTCAAGAATTGACATATTCAGGCACGAGCAATGACGTAGAGACAATATCGGTAATGAACTTGACAAAGATAGGTTTTGTTTAACATAAATCTACTATGTCTTTAGATTTTGTAGTTTATGAGTACAATGAACTGCTATTGAATGGAAAGCATTCATATGTTAAGTATCCCACGAATTAATAGCTTGATCGTATCACATTGCTTTTAACTAGTTACAGTCGATTTGAATTGAGAATTTCTTTCTCTTCATGAACCTAAAATTGCCGAAACCAAAAAATAAATATATAAGCAAAGAAATAGAAATGTTAAATGCGGCTACAGAACCACGTACGTTCATCACGTTTGATTTACAAATAATACGAAAAAATGAGACTCTACTTTCATTGTGAAAAAGGAAAGTAAATGTTGTATTAATGTTGATAATCCTTGTTAATTAGTCAAACAAACGTTCTTAGCCATGCTATTTTTTTACATTAAAAGAAAAAAGTCTATTCCTTCCGAGTCTAGCTACTATGCCATGTATATCTAGTAACTCAAACTCGAATAAAAGATAAACTTAAACCATCGAGACACCCAATGTTATTTTCGGTTTTGTATCCCTTTTGCCATCTTCATTTATATGTTAAATTCAGACACGTAAACAAAGCAAACAACCTTTACTTGAATTTGTAGAGTATAGAAAACGTGGAAAAAAGATCACAACTTCCAATTTCATAGTATTATTATTAGCATGATAAAGAGGTTGACATCTAGTAATTTATATTTGCCATGTTTCTGATCAGAACGCAATAGGTATGTGGCCGACAGTGGTCTCGTAATGCAGTTATGGCTGGTGCTGTTTGCGATTTTATTTTGAAGATGATTAACTAAGACTAATTATTTCTTTTCTTTTCGTACAAATTATTATTTGTTTATATTTTATTTATTTTCAAAATTCATGTCAAGCTTACATTAAAAAGACAATACAAATCTTCCACTTTTAAATGAGGAAATTGGAATTCAAACTCTACTTTACCCTATTCTTCTCCTTCAATTTCTGAGAAATTATCTTCTCAAAATAACTCTACCACCAGTCCAAAATTAAATCCCGATGCAGCTGAATTTTCTTATTCTCCTCGACCACAAACTTCTCTTCTCCAAATTTTTCTTCCTATTTCAGCCCCAGAACACAAACAATACTCTAAAAATGTTACGGATGTAAGGAAAAATACATTCTATCCTAATACAAGTTATTCGATTGAACAAATCCATTCCGAAGGAGAGCAAAATCATGCTTTTAATGATTCAAAAGATGGAGATTTTGACATAGAACGGGAATTGGAACGAGAGTCTTTTTATAATGAAATTTCTGCTCCGACATATCATAATCATTCGAAAAAAGGCAAGGCAAAAAAGAAAAAAGTTCAAATCCATTAGTCAGCTAGATTGAATAAACATTAGTATATTTCTTTATGATTAAAATTATACTTGCTATAGAGTTTAGTATATTCGTTGTCCTATTTTTTCTTTTATGAAATTGTGTTTTTTTTTTTTAAAAAAAAAGACAATACAAATCAGACAAGAACAAAATTTCAAACAAGGGCTCTTAATTTGGGAGTACTCAGATGAAAGAGAATAAGAGAAACGGGAAAAATAACTGATGGAAGCAATTAACGAATTAATTGAAATTTCTGACGGAACTGATGTGAAGTCGATGAAGTACCATAGACTTTAATTATTTTTAATGAATTTTGTACGATGCCCAAGAAATTTTCAGCCTACAATCACCCCCATTTACACATATATACCTTCTCCTTCTTCATCTGTATGGCTAGATCCTGAGCTTCAGTCCTTTTTTTTCTCAATAGGGGGGACTCGGGGTGCCTCATCATTGTTGACCGGATGAAAGTTTAGTGAAACTAATATAGAGACGGTAATACTTTGTCTCTCTCAAAAAGATGGTCCAAGACATCAAATAAAATAGTACTACCACAAAATAAAATGAATTTTTTTTTAGGAGTACTACTATATATTAGTACGAGTTATTAATAATTGTCCAATAAATTCTGTCTGTTACCCAATAAGTTTCCAGCCAACAAACAATAACCCTTCATTAACGCCATAATTTTGCTTCTGCACTCTATATATTATTTCTTTTGATCATTACATTCATCCAGCACTCTAAAAACTTTAGAGCTTGGTGCTAGAGTTTCTAGCTTCAACTGTTTGTAAATTTTGGTCTGGGGGAATTTTATACACAAGGCAAAGCAAGAAAAGGGACTGATTAAGAGAGATTGAATATTCGCATTAGAGTCATGATCACGAGTTTCTTGAAGGCAAATTAAGGCTATTCGTATGTATCAATATGGGCCCAAACGGCACCAATTACTTGTTAAACTCTCTCGAGTTTCTTGCTACAAAAGAGGAATTAGAGGAGACCATAAGGTTATGATCTCCAAAGATGTGGACATCCTTCACCCCAGGTACGATTAGGGATGTCCAACCATCACTAATCTTTTTGTTTACCACTTTCCTCCAAACAATCTCAATTGTTGTTATGCAGGTTTAGCCGCGTTTAGAAATCCATAATTGTGGATTCTTCAATTTTCTACATATTTGGTTTCATTCGAGTGATATTGCAATTTTGGCATTTTTCTTCTATTTGTACATGTCTCTCTCAAACCTCAGGTGAAATTCTTTCCTTTGAAAGAATTATTACGCGCAGTTGAATAATTTTAGAATCCTTAATCTTAACAATTCAATCTTCGTTATTAATTTGGTATTACAAATTGTAGATGATGACTACGTGCTTACAAATTTACCTGTAGCTATTAATGAATTAAACCACGAATCGAATGTTTGTTGGACTGGCATGAGGATACGATATAAGTTATAATATTTCTCAAACAAAAATGCTGAATACGGCTGTATGCTAATATTTTAATCCCGGTAGTCATAATCACAAAATCAATGGTCGTAAATTTTTGTTTAGAGAGTATTTAATTTAATTGGAGTTTGGCTGCATTCCAAGATCTCTCCAAATCTTCTACGCATTCCACCAGCGCATTTAAAACTCTCATTTCATCAATAACCGAGAACGGTTATAGTTGCCATTTCCGATTTTCTATGGATTTGGCTTAAAAGGCATATATAGATATATGCAGAGTAAGTGGACGATTCTCAAATCTTGCATATCTGATGGAATTAGCTCCAACTCAAATCTTCAAACCAACGACTATTTACAAAATCAAGATTCATCCCTGCTATGAATAGGATCTTAAATTGCAGGCAGGATGGGTTTCATGACTTAATGAATCGAAAGCATTTCATCTACTTGAGTCTCGAGCACATTAATATTTTGATCATATCACAATGCATTACCGGTTATAGCCGATTTGAATTGAGGCGTACTAGTTGATCCATAATTTCCTAAAACTAAAAGCAAATAAATATATATTTACATGCAGCTTAGTGAACCACGTTCATCCCGCGTTTAAAGACAGGATTTACGTCTACGTATAACTTAAATGTAAGATTACAATTTTATTGCTAACAAAAAAGTTAATGTTGGTGAAATGTTGATGATCGTTGTTATTTAGTCCCACCATCATTCTTAGTCATACTTTTTTTTTATTCCCTCCGATTCTTATTATATGCCATTTTGATTTGTTCTAAGATATTGTAGTCTGTCATTCCAATAAAAAATAAAATCTAAAACATAATTTATTTATCTTGATGATGCACTATTTCAAAATAAGTGTCCGGTATATTATATGAGGATCATTCAGACTCTTTATTTGAGGATGGAGAGAGTACCTTTTATAACCGAGGGGTTCTTGATTAGTGTAACAACGACTAAAGGTTCTTCTTTTTCCTAAATTTGTCACCTGCAAGTAAAGTTACTGAAGTACCGGGTACGTACTATGTGGGTTAATGTGTTTAATAAAGTTGATCTAGACGGACAACCAATTTCCAGGCAACAAACAAACACTCCCCCATTAACGCTTATCTTTTGGTTCATGGCTTTATATACTCTCCCGAGCCTCGACTTTACATACATCAAGGACGCTCAGAACTTCAAGAATACCTTTTGAAACCTCCTTTACTCTTCATTTCATCAACGTATCATCTAGGATATAATCTACTATTGCCCCTTTCAATCCTGTATGAATTCGTTTTAACAGGCATATAGATTAGATAGCAAGGCGAAAGAAGACTCAAGGAGGCTTCAACATTTCCAGATTCTGCAGAGGAATGAAGGGATCTTGAATTGGAGGACGATGTTGTCCTCGGCTTAAGCTCTCTCGAGTTTCTTGCTACAACCAAAATGCTCGATTATGTTAGTCAACTGCCAATCCTCAAAAAGTCTCATCTATTCCAGAAGTGCAGGTTGCTTCACTTTAGGATGTAGTGTTCCGATTTTTATATACCCGGTGATAGAATAAGTTTGGAGATCGGCCGGCAGAGTGAATTAGGTTCTGTTTAATATTGATTTAGATTTTTTGTGTTTTGTGGGTGATGTCATTAGCAAGAGTTTTATGATATTG